AGACGGACGGAGACCGAATTATAAGTATATAATTATAACTAAAAATAACATGCCCTTCTTTCAGGATACAATCGTATTGGAAATAATTATTACTGGGCCAGTGGAGATGAAGCCGAACTGCTTGATGGTTTTTGGAGTGCAACTGGACTTGAATATGGTGAAGGTTGCGTAGGTATTGACCTTGAAGTCAGCGGATCGTGTCCTTGGTTACTGAGAAACTGTGAAATCCAGTTACCATACATGTGTGAGATGAGGCCAATACTTGAAGGTAGGTTACTTTTAAAAATTATTGTATCCACAGTTTTTGTTCTACTCGCTCGACATATTGTCACTAGTGATCAGCATGCGCTAGGTTTACAAGCAAAATTTTATTGGAGCTGCACTGTTGCTTCTCCCACCATTTAACAGAAGATTTATCTCTTGTGTGTTTGACCTGGTTTGTTTAAAACCAAGCTGGAACATTCCATTGACTGAAAGTTTTTTTTTAACTTGATGCACTTGAGTCTCTTATCATGTTGGGAGTAACAAACCGAATTGAATTGTCATATAATATTAAATATTTTGTTGCCAAAGGTCATTCCTGAGGGCTCTAATAGGCTCAGCTAGCCGATCTCACACACCATTTTAGTTCATACTAAGGTATAGCTCAGTCTAGCCATGTCCATACTGAGTGCTCACTCATGTTTTGTTAGCTTGTGGTAAATAACTGTGCACAGTGGGTCACGAATGGGAATCTGCTCTTGTTGGTATACATCGTAATGATAGTTTTGTATGTAGCAATGCATCATGGGAAATATAATTTGAGTGACCCATTCATCAGAGGTGTTAAATCTGTTAGCTATCTTGTCACATACACCATTGTGAGCCTTGAAAAGACATCATGAACAGTTTGTATTAATTTTTATTTTAATAAACCAGATTAGAATTGAAATCTTGCCCATTGAAATCACATTCAGCATTTATTTTTGATTCAGTAATTGTACACAATAGAAAATAAAATATTCCGTGATTATGAAAAAGTTGGGAGATTTTGCAGATATCTCTGTTCTGATGCATCACCATTAATTGTGATTTATGTACTGAAACCTGGTTGCCATTTTTTACCCAGTGCAGTGTTTTAGGCAATAACTTAAATATTTAGTCTACAAATGTTGCTGTTTACAGATGACTTTGTTTGCTGCAATGGACAACATATACTGGGTTCATATGAATGCGATGGAATGGAAGACTGTAATGATGGTACTGATGAAATTGACTGCCAAGGTGAAGTTAAATATCCTTACTTACTGTGGAATACTTTATTTTCGCTGGAATTAATTTTCGCTGAAAAGGCTTTTTTGGTCGTTTTTCTTGGAATTTTCGCTGGATTATATTTTCACGGAATCATCCCTTCAGCGAAAATAGCGAAAATAAATTCCAATCAAAAATAAAGTATTCTACAGTATTTCAAACCAACTATACATACATAAATATACTAGTCAAGTTGCATATTTATTTGAAGCTGTTTTGTGAAGACAAGGGAGTTGACATAGGTCTGAATGCTGGTTGTTTCAGTCCTGAACATTTCCGTGGCTGCTTCATTTAAAGACAGATATTTTGTCCATGAGTGATTCTTTCTGGAAAGATTGTGCATCTCTTATATGTTCAATTCACTAAGAACTTTTTTCTGTTCATTTGTACCGGTAATTATTTCCGAAAATCAAATACGTTGAAGTACAATTAAAAAATAAATTTTATTAGTTTGCACGTTACAACAGTTTCATTTTATGATGTGTATGCTTAGTTCACCTAACCTACAAAAATTTCAACATTTCGGTAAATTTGACATGATGACACAACTTACAGTTTCATAAAAGACGTATGTAAAAACTATATCTGCATAACCTGTACAGTTACTGCATTCAGATGAATGCACTTGGCCAACTATCATCTGAACACTCTGGCATGACCTGAAAATTGACCTGCTTCTTTGACCCAGACCATCCTTGGCACATGTCCAGCTTGAATCGATTATTGGAGAAAAGAATTCACAAAAAAATAATAGCAGTCTGTATATATACATGATTAAGTTTGATAGATTACCATAATGAATCATAGTGCTATACTTTTTTGCAACAGTATAATGCAATAATTTGTTGTACATGTCTGCAATTGAATGCATTGTGGTTTCCATTTATGTACATCTATTAGCACGGATTCTTCTCTGAGATTCTTTTGAAAATGTTATTCACTTATACTACTGACCTTGAACCGTGCATTAGGCAAAATGTTTATATTAATTTCCGAGACTGCATATTATTTATATTTCAAAAAGCAGTTTGTTATATGAAACTTTGAAATATTGAAAAAGTAGTCAATTGGGGATGCAATTTTGAATCTACTGGGTCCACTAACGGTCTTGGCACATGCTGAAATTCCGTCTGAATGTTGCGTATAGGTAAATTATTACATAACATATAATTTTCTGAAAAAAAAAAAAGAATAACACTAAAGACATTGATTATAAAGTTAATGACTAAAATATTTTTTTGTTTTAGACGCAGTATATGGTGGTTCGATGACTGGTACATATGGTGAAATCACTAGTCCAGGATTTCCAGATAACTATTATCCTAATAATCTTAACTGTAGATGGCAAATTATTGCACCATTCGGAAGTAGGATAAAAATCAGGGTAGATTATTATTATATATTGTTTTTGACCCCATAAAGTTGCCCTCCCTCTTTGTATTATATGCGAAACATCTCATACTAATCCTTGAGATTCACTATGAAAAATGATCAAATCAGTATAATAGTTTAGTAACAAATCCTGAAATATTGGAGTACTGAAGCTACACATAACTTGTACTGAAAGACGTTGTGTCTAATCACCATATTGAACATATTTTCATTGTTGTGTTCTCAAGGTTACTTAATTTATTTTATGAGGTTCCTCTAAATTCTCATGATTTGTACAATATCCAAAACCTTATGACACCATGTGGGAATGCAAATTTAACAAAATTATGTAAATAATTAAGTGGTTGTTTGCATTTTGAATGGCAAATGGAAGTCAGCTTGCTGTGCTCAGTTTTTTCTCCAATTTGCGTCTAAAATAACATTAGTACTATTTTTTTTGTTAGTTGTCCTGAAAGAATACACTAAAAGAAAGTGATATACCGATTATTAAAAAAACATGAAAATTTGACCAGATTTCCCCTGTTGCTACCTTAATTTACATAACAATGTAGTAACACCATTTACTATTTTCATTTTATTTTGTTTTTTTCATTTGTTTTTTAACCATTAGTTTTTCTTTATAAACAAAATAAACATTGGGTACTAGAATACTGAGTCTTTTTCCATCCCTATTGTGTACAGGTAACAGATTTGAACACTGAACTTGGATATGATGTTTTGAAACTATACGATGGCTGTGGGTATGATAATTTAGTTGAAATGCTTTCTGGTTATTATGGTCCAACGTATGAAGTGATGTCAACGAATAATATTGTCAAGATTCAATTCACAAGTGATGGCAGTGGCTCCTATGAGGGATTTTCATTGACATGGGAGTCTGGTAAGTTTGTGAGGTATTACCATGCATAGAACTGTGATATCCAAACATTTCCATGGGAAAATATTAAATTTTCACTGTTGGAACTACTTTGATCAAACGATAGATCACATGGGTTTACAGCAAGTCTTGGAAATATTGAGGCAGCCAATTTGCAAACTCGCTAGCGAATTGGCTAAGTGCTTGGGTTTTGACTAAACAGTTGGCTTTCAAATCTTGCTGCCGTCGACTCGTGGTCATGTCCTCTCTGGGCGAGTCTATATTGCATTAGAGAACATGGAATGCTTTTACGTAGCCTGGTACATGTTTGGATTCCCCTAAATGATTTGCTTCACGAGGCGTGATAATGTGAAAGTAGTTTCCTTGGTCTGCCTGAGAATGACCACAGTCAGCTGGCGTACAAGTGATAATATGATAAATGTGATTAATCCACCAATATTTACTATATGGAGGTAGCCATCTTGAACACTGATTGAAACTAAAAGTTGAGAAACAGTTGCAAATCAGGGAGAAAATAAATTTTCACATCTTCTGAGACTTGCTGTAACGATCTAAGTCTGCGATTTGTTCGAAAAAGTCAAGCAGGGAATATTAGATAAAAATTAATAATAAAAAAAAATGTTGTTACTGCCATTTATGCAGGGTTCATGCTCAGTAAAAATATCACAAGAAAGGAATAAAATATGCGCATTTTCAGAAGTTACAAGTTGTATTGTCTGCCTCCTAACTCTTTGTCTTGGTTTTCTTTAGTTGAGGAAGAATGTGGTGGAACATTTGATGCTACCACTGACCCTGTTGACCTCTTCTCACCCGGATTTGTGCTGAATAATGAATATCCCCATGATGAAGAATGTGTGTGGATTCTCAAGGTGTACAAGGAAGACTGTGGATCTGGTTCTAGGTCTGGATCTAGGACTGGAAGTGGGCGACGTGGAAGTCGTGGTAGTGGTGGAGCGTCAGCCAATGGATGCAAAGATGATGACGTAATCACTTTACAGGTACAATTAATGTTTTTCAGTATCGTGGACAACTGTTTTCACTCTTATTAGTCTCTGTCCCTGTGTATATCCAGTGGTTTACTGTTTCAATCCAAGATGGCTGACATGCAGCCATTTTGTTTTTTGAAAATGTAGTATCTTATGCTTGCTTTGCCAGTTTTTGTCTATGACGATTTGTTTCAAGATCGGATCAAAGATGGCTTGTTTTTTGGAAATGTTGTATCATGAAAATTGTTTGTCATTTTCATTCAAATTTTCTATAATACATTGTACATTTTAGATTACATATTCATGGCAATTTGTTTTACAATGGATTGCATTTATTTCATGTATAAGTCAAACCAACACAAGCAGTTGAGTCAGATCTTCATGGTTTTGAATCAAATTATTACTACCGGTAGTCATGTCATTTTGACTGTGAATTCTGTTGTTTTTAATATCAGAAGTATATAATTAATAATTTTTTTTCTTCAGTTTTATGATTTTGAAACTGAGTACATAAATGATGTGGTTTATGTTGATGATGGTAAATCACCGAATAGTAACCGCAGACTAGGTGAGATATCAGGAACTGACTGGGAATACATGCCTGGGCCATTCATCTCATCAAAGAGCGAAATGTATATCCGATTTTCTTCAGATAGTGAAGATCAGTATGATGGATTCAGCGCTAGTTACAAATCAGGTATGACACAAATTGGGTAGAAATCCCATGCATATTAATTACCTAATTTGCATAATGGTTTGTTAATTTTCAACTTTTCTACTGTTATCTTGAGTACTAATCATCACATTACAATGAAACTTGGTAGGTACATAGATGTCATAAGACAACGCAGAGATCTGATAAGTTTTGGGTTAATATCCATGCATATTAATTACATAATTTGCATAATTTATAAGTAAATAAGAACGCATATTCACATTTAAAAACCTCATTTGGTGCAAGAAGTATAACTGCATCAGTCATTTGAAAGAATCTTATCTTATGGCATGTTTGCTAGGCTTCTTAACCCTTATTCTGCGAGCCCCATATACTTTTAGATGGACTTGACCAGATAAGGGTTAAATACGCACTGGTGACAGGATAGACAGGATACAAGGTCTTTATTTTCCTAGGTGGATAGAATGTCAGCCTTTCAAATGATGTGAAAGATAGGAGTGTGCCGTTAAGTGCATAGTTATTTACATGCATAAAATCACTGAAATAAGAACATTGCACTTCACCTGTTGGCCATAAGCGAGCCTCAAGACAGGGAGGATTTGTTTTAGGGGGAATTTGTAAAATATATTTACAAATTTTAAAACAAATTTTACATATTTATAAAAAAAAATGAAGCTCAAAACTCGGTGAAGGAAAAAATTATTTGCCCAGTAGTTTTACCTCCTCGAAGTTTCTAATGGTCAATCATTTACCAATGAAAATATAATTTTTCAGGTTTGTTGTTAATGTAATTTTTTGCTATTACAGGTTGCCAGGATATAGAATTAGAACAGAAGTGTGGTTTTATTACAACACCTGGTTATAATATGAAAGATTATCCTAACCGTGTAACGTGTTCATGGATCATTATGGACACAAGTACACGTGGAATGTCTCTATCATTTGACACATTTCAGCTAGAGGATAAGAAACAAAACGATTATGTCAGCGTAAGTCCAACCCATCTAAAAATAATTAATTCACTCAGAAGCCCTAAATTAAAGTATTGTTTAAATCTTTTATAGTAGTAGGATTATTGTACATGTATATTACTAGTAAATTCCAAAATTCCAGAGGCAGCATTCACCCATTCGAAAAATTAAATCTAAATTTTTTTTTATCTTTTACCCAAATTTTGGTGAAGACTTGTAATCGGAAATTATGTCCATTCGGTCAAAAATTATAGAAAAATACATAAAACAGGCAATATGTTGCACTCAAATTTTAGCAGGAAATATGAGATTTAAAATTAAATTAAGCTTTCTGCTGTATAACAGGTATATGATGGAGAAAATGATGCTAATTATGCGTCAATATTACTTGATGAATATACTGGTGGTTCAAGTGGATCTAACATACCTGGTGATATGCACTCAGCGGATGGTAACTTCTATGTGAAATTCTACAGTAATAAAAACAAGAAGGCTGAAGGTTTCAAAGCCAGATATTCTCGAGGTAATGACACATACATTGATTTAACCATCTATGAACACGCACACACGATGCAAACAGTCTATGCATAAAGTGTTCAAATCGTCTATGGAAACCGACATTGATGAAAAAACTACCAGGGACACATTGTTCAGGCCCATCATGGAGATACAGTGTACACGCTGTGTTCAACGAGACACCATATACTGAAGAATCTGTGCTAGTCTTAAACACTGTTATTGAGCGATTATTGTCTGAAATTATTAGCATTATTATTCTTATAATTATATACATATACTGTATAATGTGGTTTCTTTATGATAAATATTAAATTGTATACTTGGTATTCCTTCAGATTGCCGACCTTTGGAAGATCTCAGTGAGGGTACCTTGATTAGTACCGCTGATGTTCATTACCGTGTTTCTGTACGCTTCAGCTGTGCCCCAGGATTTGAACTTGAAGATCCAAGTTATGATACTGTCGTCTGTGGTTTTTGTGGACACTGGGACTACAGTCATCATGCTGACATACCTCAGTGCAGACGTAAGTGCTGAATCCAAGGAAAAAAATGCCTGATACTGTGGAATACTTTAGTTTAGCTGGAATTAATTTTCGCTGAAAAGGCTTTTTAGGCGTTCTTTATGGAATTTATTTTTACTGATTTTTGATGAGTTGAATGTGAAATATAAGAAAAAAAGTATATTCGCTGGATTTTATTTTCACGGAATCATCCCTTCAGCGAAAATAGCCAAAATAAATTCCAAGCAAAAATAAAATATTCTACAGTATTGTATATATAGTGTTTCCAAAAATGTTGAATTCATTTCCTTTAAACTGTTTTATACAAAAGTAAACTTTGTCTGCTGTCTTGTACGCTATACATATTGATTACTCATTCATATTATGGTTGACATTAAAAAGTTTGCTATCATACTCCTTTAATTACTCTGTCTATATGAATAGTATATGAATATATAAAATGTTTTCAATGAATTATTACTAGGTGTGATTTCTGTGATTGTCATACATGTATCACAGTAGTTCTAGATTGCCTATGTGATTGAGGTGAAGTATTTTTGATGTTGGTAATCACTGCTCTTGAATGTAGACACATGTACCAGTATTATCTGCACAAATATCCACCAGAGTGGCTTAGGATATGTGTGTGCCAGGAAGCAATTCGGAACATTGAATGTCACTGTTTTTTTTTTAATGTGCAGTTTGTAAGTGCCAGCACTGACGTATAGTGTATTTTACCACAGAGATCATATACCAGTTTGGGAATGTGGCAGGACTGTGTAGCCGTCTTCTTATCATAATGGCCTTATTGCAGTAATACGCTATCCTGGTGTCAACCAGGCCCAAACTTGGCTTGGGATATTTTTTACATTTTATTGTACTTAGTATTTTTCTTCTTATAGGTGTTTTATGCGGTCAACCAGTTCCAGTTTATCATGCCAGTATAGATAGCATTACAACACGTCTGTTTGAAGGTCTTGTTGTTTATACGTGTGATGATGGTTATCAACTTAAAGATGGTCTCTCCGATGCTGCTTGCCAAGATGATGGTTCATGGGGACCTATTATTCCTACTTGTCTACGTGAGTACAATTCTTAGCCATTGTTAGCATCACTATCAGTAATTTGTTACTCAACTGTGATTAAATTATCAAAATCCTCGCTACATTCATCATAATTAGTCTCAAGTATGTTGTGATAGGAAAGTGAATTGAGATACACAAGTTCATTTTGTTTTTTCGTGAATGTACACTAATTATTATCATAATGCAACACTTCTACTATACCTACCTTGGTCCCCCTTTCTCAACCAATCACTAAACCTGGCTTAGAATGCTGCACATGGAGCATCTTTCCTTGAGAAATTTCTGTCTTTACACGTTATTCATTTTTTTAGAATTTTTAGACCTTATATGTTTATTTCATCAGAAAAAAAAAATGAAAATACAAGCAGTTAAGTAAATAAATAAAATAATCTGATGAGGACTGTAAGAATAGTTCTACTGAACTAGTCTAGTCACATTTGAAATTGATTGAATTGCAATGCTGCAACAACTGAAAAATTACTGGATGTAATTCAATACTTGTAATAACTGCATTTCATATCAAAATATAAATCATAGTAACTTTAAGAACAATGGAACACTAAGATACTTAAATAGCGCCCTCACAGTCTGAGGAACTCAATTCACTAGAATCACTAGTGGATTATTTTAGACATCTGTTTACTTCCTGTAAACAATAGAAACTCAGAATAATAATAATAACAATGTATGTATTTTATAATTGCAGCTGTTGGTTGTCCCAACCCTGACGAAGATCTACCAGATAACGTGCAGTACACAGTTACAACTGATTTTGGATTTTCATTTGGTAGTTTAATTGTGTACAGTTGTGTAGGTGATTATGTAATCTATGGTGCTACAGTTGCTGAGTGTGGAATAGACGGCACTTGGTCCATTACTCCACCACAGTGTCAAAGTAAGTGAATTCAGTCATATACTGTAAAATACTTTATTTTCGCTTGGAATTGATTTTTGCTATTTTCGCTGAAGGAATGATTCAGTGAAAATAAAATCCAGCGAATATACCTTTTTTCCTATATTTCACATTTAACTCATCAAAAATAAGTGAAAATAATTTCCATACAAAACACCCAAAAAGTCTTTTCAGAGAAAATTAATTCCAGCTAAAATAAAGTATTCTACAGTATTCAAAGGCAGACATCCTGGCTTTTTTGCATTCTAGCATTCATCACCGGTGAAAATAAAGGTCGATAACTGTCAGAATTTAAACTGCACTTTGGGCTAGTTGTTGAGGCCTTCCCGAACAGTATAACAAGACTACCTCTGCATGTTTAAACATATTTAAATTTAGTTGTTCTGGATAACCTCAGGCTGTGCTGTATCACCAGTTCTTCGACTAGTGTTCAACAGCAGCTTGCATAGTGACCATAGAAATGAATTTATATGTTTGAAAGTATCTTGTCTCAAAGAACTACTAAATTATTGAAAATGCATTTGAAAAAAAAAGTGAATGTGATTCCATAATTTATGCATATAAATATGTATTTAATATTAAATTAAAAAATATGTGTGAAAAAACCCTGTAAAGTCTGAAATTGAATCGCATTTCTAAACTGAGATGTATCCTTGATTTCTTCTAGTTCCTTACTGTATTTACCCTGCAATTGACACCACTGCTACTAGTTTTGACCAGGATGAACGATATCAAATTGGTGATACTGCCACTATATCATGTAAGGTCGGTTACAGGCTTCCAGATGACCCTGTTACCAGTGCTGTTTGCCTCGGACCATTGGAGTGGGATGCCACAATCACATCTTGTATTGGTAGGTGTATTATTATTCGTATTCATAAATGGTAGTAGAAGATCAGTTTTATAGAAAACTTTTAACTGTATGACTGTTATATGTCCTACCATAAAATCTGTATTAGAAGCCTCATCCCTAATAGAAGTCGCATCACTTATTCTTTTTAATAAATTGAGAACCAAAAATTCATCATTTCTCATATGTGTAGATGCTCTAATAGAAGCCGCATCCTATCTGTTGTATTGTACCATTTTAATAAGCTTCTAATAATGATTTTACAGTATTACCATTGTTGTTTGGTTTGGTTTAAACTTTAAAACTTTTAAAATCAGGTTTGATCAGTTAAAGTTAAGCATGACTGACATCCCTCTTTTATAATGTACATGTGTTGTTTAGTGAATCATTGACACAATATCAGTTATTTTCAACCAGTACTAAAAGTAAGTAAGTTACCATGGTGAATTTAAAAACTTTCTTAACTTTTGAAAATATTTCTTCCCTTTCAGATATCAATGAGTGTAATGACGGTTCTAATGGATGTGGTTCTGACCAGATATGTACTAATTATCCTGGTACCTACTCATGTAGTTGTCCAGATGGATTCCAGAATCCTGTAAATGACCCTGTTGCATGTGTGGGTAAGTTAACATATAAAGCTAAATTGTTTTCTAAGTGATGCGTTATATATGGATTTTATGATACTACCGGTAATCAGGTTTTGAGGTAACAGCTTGCAATGATGGGCACGTGATATGCTATGTGTACCAGGATGCTCGGGGTCCCTATGTTTTTACATTTCAGTAAATATTAATTGTTGATTTGTTTTTTCAGATATTGATGAATGTTCAGATCCATCATTGAACCTGTGCAACCAGCTTTGTAACAATTTAGAAGGTACCTATGATTGTACGTGTTACACTGGTTACACACTTTTCACCGTGGATGGCACCAATGGTTTTTACATTCCCACTGGAGAAGATGGGTATCATTCTCTGGATACTTACATTTATCATAGAACATGTGTCCGTAAGTATATTCTTTAAAAATATTAATAAATCAGACATTTATGATTTTCTGACCAAATGGTGGTAGTCATGCATTAGTTGCTATTTTGAAAGTTTGTATCTTGTGTTATTAAATTAAAAATGTTTGATATCTAAAAAACTTATGCCATAATATTGCACCATTGTTATTAGTGAATTTGGCATATTGCTAACTGGTTTACAAATAAACAGTTATTGATAGACAACAGCTCTGGGAATCTGAATTATTTGCTTATCATAGCTTCACCGTTGGCCATGTTGCTGAATGGTTTGCTATTATCATGCATGCTAATGTTTGACACAGGAACTTCCTGATATTTGGAGTGGTTATTTAAAAGTTTGAAAATGTTTTTACGAACCGCCATTTTATGTACATTGTACTTGTACAAAATTCTAATTCCAAATGACTGCTGGAGTAAGGTTTAACGCTATGAAGAAATCACAGTCATTGTTTCCATGGAAACAAGTGGGATACCTCCTATTTTTATTTGATGTACAGTTTTGCTTAGAAAAATTTCAAAAATTTGCTTTTAATTTTCTGTACTTTTCGTCTGAATAACTGAATATATTGTTATTACAGTATCTATCAGCATTCACTGGTTATTCATAAAAACTAAGGCCAGGAAAAAAAAATTCTGAAACAGAGATATTTTTTTTCTCAGCCTAAATAGATGCATATATTGTTTCTGCCCAGCACTCACACATCGACGGCTGAAAGCCTCCATGGTGTCAGCAGGCAATCTGTTAAACATAATGACTTACTCGAAATCTAACATTCTATTTCAGCAATCATGTGCTCAATGTCGCTTGAACTACAAATAACAGTTGGCATTGCTGTGTTTCCTGATGTGTGTACTTGTGAGTATGGGGACTCCTCTGTAGAGGTGGCATATGATAATACTGTGCACATTGTGGCTACTATGGCATATATGGTGTCTGGGTCATATGAACTTACCTGTACAGTTGATGGTCAATTCGATAACGAATATCCCACGATTATAGGTGAGTCTACACTACAATATTCCTGAAGTTTCAAAAATGATGGTTTTTGTCATAGATTTGTAATTTTTCCAGAAAAAACAGTAAAAATCAAGTATAATTCATAAAATGTATTTTATAACTAGATGCTGTTTGTGATGCGCCTCCTGATATTGAACATGGTACTTGGACGGCATCTGATGATAGCTATGCTTACCTCAGTACTGTACAATATTCTTGTGATGTTGGTTATGTTCGTAATGGACCCGTTGAAACTATCTGTATTAGAGACACTGTGTATTCCAATGGTTGGAGTCAACCCATACCAACGTGTGAACGTAAGTATTTCATTATCTAAGTTTACTTACGAACTGTTATGACCAATTAATTTATAACTGTAATGTGTCTTTATTCATGTTTAACATTATTTCATTTTTAATCTGTTTCTGAATCACCAATTGTACAAATAATGAAACATACTCAGACATGATGTGCAACTTGTTGTAATATAATTTTAATATATAATTTCTGAATGATGATATCAAAATGGCGACGTCTTTAGCATAGGAACCTGAATGATGATGATAGAAATATGAAGACGTCTTTAGCATAGAAACCTGAATGATGATGATAGGAAAATGGATGACGTCTTTAGCATAGAAACCTGAATGATGATAATAGGAAAATGGCTGATGTCTTTAGCATAGAAACCTGAATGATAATGATAGAAATATGGCTGACGTCTTTAGCATAGCAACCTGAATGATGATAGCAAAATGGCTGATGTCTTTAGCATAGAAACCTGAATAATGATGATAGAAAAATGGCTGACGTCTTTAGCATAGAAACCTGAATGATGATGATAGAAAAATGGCTGACGTCTTTAGCATAGAAACCTGAATGATGATGATAGAAAAATGGCTGACGTCTTTAGCATAGCAACATGAATGATGATAATAGGAAAATGGCTGACATCTTTAGCATAGAAACCTGAATGATGATGATAGAAAAATGGCTGACGTCTTTAGCATAGCAACCTGAATGGTGATGATAGAAATATGAAGACGTCTTTAGCATAGAAACCTGAATGATGATAATAGGAAAATGGCTGATGTCTTTAGCATAGAAACCTGAATGATGATGATAGGAAAATGGCTGACGTCTTTAGCATAGAAACCTGAATGATGATAATAGGAAAATGGCTGACGTCTTTAGCATAGCAACCTGAATGATGATAGAAAAATGGCTGACGTCTTTAGCATAGAAACCTGAATGATGATGATAGGAAAATGGCTGACGTCTTTAGCATAGAAACCTGAATGATGATGATAGAAAAATGGCTGACGTCTTTAGCATAGAAACCTGAATGATGATGATAGAAAAATGGCTGACGTCTTTAGCATAGAAACCTGAATGATGATGATAGAAATATGAAGACGTCTTTAGCATAGAAACCTGAATGATGATAATAGGAAAATGGATGACGTCTTTAGCATAGCAACATGAATAATGATGATAGAAAAATGGCTGATGTCTTTAGCATAGATACCTGAATGATGATGATAGAAAAATGGCTGACGTCTTTAGCATAGAAACCTGAATAATGATGATAGAAAAATGGCTGATGTCTTTAGCATAGAAACCTGAATGATGATGATAGAAAAATGGCTGACGTCTTTAGCATAGCAACCTGAATGATGATAGAAAAATGGCTGATGTCTTTAGCATAGAAACCTGAATGATGATGATAGAAAAATGGCTGACGTCTTTAGCATAGAAACCTGAATGATGATGATAGAAATATGAAGACGTCTTTAGCATAGAAACCTGAATGATGATAATAGGAAAATGGCTGATATCTTTAGCATAGAAACCTGAATGATGATGATAAGAAAATGGCTGACGTCTTTAGCATAGAAACCTGAATGATGATAATAGGAAAATGGCTGACGTCTTTAGCATAGAAACCTGAATGATGATGATAGGAAAATGGCTGACGTCTTTAGCATAGAAACCTGAATGATGATGATAGAAAAATGAAGATGTCTTTAGCATAGATACCTGAATGATGATAATAGGAAAATGGCTGACGTCTTTAGCATAGAAACCTGAATAATGATGATAGAAAAATGGCTGATGTCTTTAGCATAGAAACCTGAATGATGATGATAGAAATATGAAGACGTCTTTAGCATAGAAACCTGAATGATGATGATAGGAAAATGGATGACGTCTTTAGCATAGCAACCTGAATGATGATAGAAAAATGGCTGATGTCTTTAGCATAGCAACCTGGATTATGATAATAGGAAAATGGCTGACGTCTTTAGCATAGAAACCTGAATGATGATGATAGAAATATGAAGACGTCTTTAGCATAGAAACCTGAATGATGATGATAGGAAAATGGATGACGTCTTTAGCATAGCAACCTGAATGATGATAGAAAAATGGCTGATGTCTTTAGCATAGAAACCTGAATGATGATAATAGGAAAATGGCTGACGTCTTTAGCAAAGAAACCTGAATGATGATAATAGGAAAATGGCTGATGTCTTTAGCATAGAAACCTGAATGATGATGATAGAAAAATGGCTGACGTCTTTAGCATAGCAACCTGAATGATGATAGAAAAATGGCTGATGTCTTTAGCATAGCAACCTGAATGATGATAATAGGAAAATGGCTGACGTCTTTAGCATAGAAACCTGAATGATGATAATAGGAAAATGGCTGACGTCTTTAGCATAGAAACCTGAATGATGATAGAAAAATGGCTGACGTCTTTAGCATAGAAACCTGAATGATGATAGGAAAATGGCTGACGTCTTTAGCATAGCAACCTGAATGATGATGATAGGAAAATGGCTGACGTCTTTAGCATAGAAACCTGAATGATGATGATAGAAAAATGGCTGACGTCTTTAGCATAGAAACCTGAATGATGATGATAGGAAAATGGCTGACGTCTTTAGCATAGAAACCTGAATGATGATGATAGAAAAATGGCTGATGTCTTTAGCATAGCAACCTGAATGATGATGATTATAAAATGGCTGACGTCTTTAGCATAGAAACCTGAATGATGATGATAGAAAAATGGCTGACGTCTTTAGCATAGCAACCTGAATGATGATAGAAAAATGGCTGACATCTTAGCATAGAAACCTGAATGATGATGATAGAAAAATGGCTGATGTCTTTAGCATAGCAGCCTGAATGATGATAGAAAAATGGCTGACGTCTTTAGCATAGAAACCTGAATGATGATAATAGGAAAATGGCTGATGTCTTTAGCATAGAAACCTGAATGATGATGAAAGAAAAATGGCTGACGTCTTTAGCATAGAAACCTGAATGATGATGATAGAAAAATGGATGACGTCTTTAGCATAGAAACCTGAATGATGATGATAGGAAAATGGCTGACGTCTTTAGCATAGCAACCTGAATGATGATGATAGAAATATGAAGACATCTTTAGCATAGAAACCTGAATGATGATAATAGGAAAATGGCTGATGTCTTTAGCATAGAAACCTGAATGATGATGATAGGAAAATGGCTGACGTCTTTAGCATAGCAACCTGAATGGTGATGATAGAAATATGAAGACATCTTTAGCATAGAAACCTGAATGATGATGATAGAAATATGAAGACATCTTTAGCATAGAAACCTGAATGATGATGATAGAAAAATGGCTGACGTCTTTAGCATAGAAACCTGAATGAAAAAATGTTGTCATTATTGAGTTTATATCCAAAATATCCTCAAAAAATAGTCAGTGGTTACTTCAAAGTATAATGAAATTCGTATTTCAAAAATTTTTTGTTTAATAATGGTTTTATATGCAATGTGTTTTTCAGCAATTCAGTGTAGTGTTCCAACACATCCTACTAATGGGTTATGTTATTTTGATGGCCATGCCTACCAGGATAAAGTAATCTGTCAGTGCAACCCTAGTTATGTCATGTATGGAAATGCCGAGAGACACTGTGATCAAAATGGTTTATGGGATGGAGCAACTCCTCATTGTGAATGTGAGTCCCTCCTTTATATACCTGACTCCCCTTCATAAAGTGATCTGTTCTATGCATGCTGCAGATTCATTACTTATAATACTGTACAGACAGACTCAGTTTGCTGATAACTGCGGTAAAATCGCAATAAAAACTCATTCACTCATTTCTCTAGAAAATCTGTGAATTTCACATGTAATGAAATGCTTGATTGATCAAAGTAATCAAGTTAAATGCAGGTGAAAAAATAATGCTTCCACAGAAGCCTATTGCATCTGTGTATAGAGATTATAATAAGATAACTTTTTAATAAAAAAAAAATCATCCCAAGAATGGTTGGAACATTCAAGGGTCTGCAGTATGTTTGAACTTACCTTTTATAACTTTAATTACCATAATTTTTCCCTCCAAAATCCTGGTATTACATTTTGTATATTAATCTTTAATTTTGTAATTCTCCACTTGCTACAAATTTTGATAAACATTTTTTTCAAAAAGTTAAAATAAAAAAATAAATACAAACTGCCTTTAAACTGAATAAAAAAAAACTTGATTCCATACTCAACTTCCCCCAGATTTCAAATGATCCACCTCTGATTTGTATTAAACCATTAAATTGCGAAACATGGAAAACTTCTAATTTATCCAAAATTCAAACCCAATTTTTAGCGGACACACCAAACACCTGACACTGATAAAGATATGCAATTATCAATTTTGTGCATGTTGTTTTTCTCTTCACACAGTGGCATCATGTGATTCCCCTGGCACTCCAATAAATGGTAGACAGTTTAGTACTGATGGAGGATATTTCTTTGGTGCTGTACTATACTTTGTTTGTGATCAAGAAGGATTTGGTCCAAGTCCTGCAAGTCCTATGGTCTGTATTTCTGATGGTTATATACCCGCGGTAATGTGGCCTGAGCATATGGGTATGTATACATTCACCAGTTGTATTCATGTATTACCATATAATATATGTGTGTTCTGAGGTCTATAATCTCTACAATATGCCTAGAATCTATGGGTTTTCTGGGATATCTGTACGCCTAGAAACTATGGGTTTCCAGGTTCTCTGTATGCCTAGAATCAGTGAGTATTCTGAAGTCTAGGCTCTTTAGAGTATGCCTAGAATCTGTGGGTCTTCATACATCTGGAATCTCTACAGTGTGCCTAGAATCTATATGTTTTCCTATGTTTGGGGTCTCTGCTATATGCCTAGAATCTATGAGGGTTCTAAGCTTCGGTGATCTCTAAAATTTGCCTAGAATCTATGGATGTTCTGAGGTCTGTGGTCTCTGCAGTATGCCTAGAATCTATGAGGGTCCTAAGCTCTGTGATCGCTAAAATATGCCTAGAATCTATGAGTGTTCTAAGCTCTGTGATCTCTAAAATTTGCCTAGAATCTATGGATGTTCTGAGGTCTGTGGTCTCTGCAGTATGCCTAGAATCTATGAGGGTCCTAAGCTCTGTGATCGCTAAAATATGCCTAGAATCTATGAGTGTTCTAAGCTCTGTGATCTCTGAAATATGCCTAGAATCTATGAGTGTTCTGAGGTCCAGGATCTTGGTACATATATGTAGATGATCCACATATACCTCTAGTTCCAGATTCCTTTGAAACTTGCTAATATGTGCTCTGTGGTCATCCAAATGTGTTTAGTTTGGGATTAAAATTCCATCTATGTAAATCACCTAATTTACATAAATCGATAAATAACCATTTATTAGATTTAAATTGAACTTTGTGATCTTGGATATATCACAGACTGCATACAATAGATGTACAATATTCACAGTATAGTTAACTTCAAGACTGTGAATCAGATTTTCACATTGTGCATCTTAAAGATCCAATCTATATTTGTTGTCAGGCTTCTTGTTTAAAAGGCCGATTTCAGATATGTCTGCATCTTATGCCTTCCACACTCTCAGCACTAAAGAGTTCTTTCTAAGTATTTTTTGAATTTTTTCTTCCTTTATCAGGTCAACGTCGTAAAAGATCCACTCCTCGTTTCTCTCTAAATGGTAGATCCAAAAGGTCTGTATTATTGTCAGACACAGATGCTGTTCTCATAGCTCTTGCTGGTTGCATTGAAGGATCAACTGTGACCCCTGTTGAAATCACATTGCTTCTTCCATCCACATTAACAGACAGTCATGATGCTTATCTTCAAGGTGATATAACAGCACAAGATTTTATAGATCTATTAATGGATCCTGCTGAGGGAATGTACGATTCAGAACGAACATGTATTGGTGACCTTGATTTCACAACTGGAGATACTACTGTGGAACATGTGATTGATTGGGTTGCACTTGATATTGCTATAAAAGACTGCTTCAAAGATGTACTTCTATTTGACACTTTATATCCTGGAATAGATATTCTGGAACCATTTGCTTCTGGCTTGTCAAATGGAAGTGTGACAATTCGTAGTTTATTAGAAACATATTTCACAAATGGTCTTCCTGATTGTGTAGATTATATTGAAATAACTTATACGGATGATGACGATGATGAGGAAGAGGAAGAGGAGGAGACAGGTCTGGTTATTGATTGGGTTGCACTTGATATTGCTATAAAAGACTGCTTCAAAGATGTACTTCTATTTGACACTTTATATCCTGGAATAGATATTCTGGAACCATTTGCTTCTGGCTTGTCAAATGGAAGTGTGACAATTCGTAGTTTATTAGAAACATATTTCACAAATGGTCTTCCTGATTGTGTAGATTATATTGAAATAACTTATACGGATGATGACGATGATGAGGAAGAGGAAGAGGAGGAGACAGGTCTGGTTATTGATTGGGTTGCACTTGATATTGCTATAAAAGACTGCTTCAAAGATGTACTTCTATTTGACACTTTATATCCTGGAATAGATATTCTGGAACCATTTGCTTCTGGCTTGTCAAATGGAAGTGTGACAATTCGTAGTTTATTAGAAACATATTTCACAAATGGTCTTCCTGATTGTGTAGATTATATTGAAATAACTTATACGGATGATGACGATGATGAGGAAGAGGAAGAGGAGGAGACAGGTCTGGTTATTGATTGGGTTGCACTTGATATTGCTATAAAAGACTGCTTCAAAGATGTACTTCTATTTGACACTTTATATCCTGGAATAGATATTCTGGAACCATTTGCTTCTGGCTTGTCAAATGGAAGTGTGACAATTCGTAGTTTATTAGAAACATATTTCACAAATGGTCTTCCTGATTGTGTAGATTATATTGAAATAACTTATACGGATGATGACGATGATGAGGAAGAGGAGGAGACAGGTCTGGTTATTGATTGGGTGACACTTGATTTGTCTATCAGAAACTGTCTTGGTTATCTGGATGGATTTTCTCATAACTATCATGGGCGAGACACTCTGGTACAATATGCAGATGTCTTAACTGATGGCAGTGAGACAGTTGCGAGTATATTAGAAACATATTATAATTTTGACATTAGCCTTCCTAGATGTGTGTATGAAATTCAAGTAACCTACATCATGGCAGATAGCATTACATTGGATTTAGTCATTGACTTTACAGCTCTTGATGTCTCAATTAGAGGTTGTTTCAGTGATGATTTTCTACTTTCGTTTTCTGCCTTCTACTCGGGGCCTGATGATCTGAGGCCTTATAGGGATGTATTGACAGGTGGCAGTCAGGCCATCGTTACTATATTATCAGCGTGGGGTATTGACATTTCTGATAACCAGTGTGTTAGAGATATAACAGTAAAATATACATATGAGATCAGTTGTTTTGATGATGGTGTACCAAGCTGGTTGGCATTCTACCTCACTGCGGGACACAGCTTCAATGGTTTGTTATCCTCAATAGACAAAGGTG